TGTAACAGGACTTCAATACACACACTCACATAGATGTGGAAAGTTATGTATAAGTTCATATTAAATGTAAAGTTACATTAAATTCCAGAAGGATAGGACGAGAAGTCTACTTCATAGATTAGCATCAAATACTATAATTTTATTGGTAGAAGCAGAAAAAATGAAAGACCATTTAAGTTCATGATTTGAGCAAGTGTGTGGCTATTGTTTGCTGCCAAATCAATCTCTACTCTGGTTTCTCTACAAAACTAGGTTTTCCATCATATAAAACACTACATCAATGGAACTACCTAGTTCATTCACAACCTCGCACACACACTTTCATGAATGCGCTAACAATGTGCCACTTTCACCATGGCCTTCACATGCTCCTGAGGAAAAAATGAGTGTTGAGAGGGAAACAGATGAATTCTATTAAGTCAAGTTCTATACAGGCTGAGTATAAGACAAAGGGTGAGTCTGAATGCAGGAACCAAAGCCAACACATCGGAACCTGTTTTTCTTTCAAAGTATTTTATGTGCTCACGTTTGCACAACATCTTGGCAATGACAGCACGCCTGTGTAAGGGGGTGTTTTGTGTTTCATAGTTAACATAAGGGCAAAAAAAGTAGCATCAGCCAAATATTACTTCAATTGTGAATTAAAAGAATGTGTGTGGTAGAGTGCATGGTAAGGCCCAGGGGCTAGAAGCTGCAAGGTTTAAAAATTTTCCACACAATTCCAAAAGAGAGCTTATCTCTTATTTTTATATCTTTTGGTATTGCAAAGGAATGAAACTAGAATTAGCACAGTCCATCTGTTTGATTAGAGAGAGAAGGAGACACGGTTACATGTTCTTGGCAAACAGATCTTCTATAAATCTTAGAGGAGTGTGGTTTTCCAGATTTCACTGGAAATTATTTTGATGACATTCACCAGTGCTACCAACATTAAGCACTCTTTTCTTTTTCTTCATTTTCCCCCTTTCTACATACTTTTTTAATCTTCAAAAAATAGAAAACTACCTGGTATATAGTAGATATTCAGTAAATTTATCAGATTCATTAGTGGGTGAATGGATGCATGGGTAACTAAATTAGGCATCATGAAATCTGACACCTACCAATTCTAAGGCATTGGTAGGTATCATGCCACCTAATAGAAATCTTCGTGCATTGCTTTTTACCATAGTAACTTTGAGTGAGTGTGTATGTGGGGAAGTGATGTGTGTTTCTTAGATTCCCAGGTAAACTGAAAGCCAGAGATCATAACTTCAAATGCCTGCAGAGGTCAAGTAAGTAGTAGAGATGAGGAAAATAGGTGGATATAACCAAATAGGGAATAATGGGGACTGTGGCCAACTGAGAGCACAGGAGTCAACCTGTGTTTGCAACATGGTGGGAGCCAAACACAGCATACCTGCAATCCAAGTTCACTTGCAATGTAAGTTCCTTCATGGAGGTAATTGTTTCTAAACCATCTCTGTCATATGTAAAATAATACAGAAATAAGTAAATAAGAAAAATGTTAATTGCTAAAATTTATCAAGCACTACTGAGTTCCTGGAACTATTCTGAATTTCATCTGACCTAATTTTAGTCATTAATGGAATTACCTCCATTTTACAAGTGAGCACATTAAGGTATAACACTTAGTAAATGCGTATTGGTTGCTCTGTTAAAAAATAATTGGATGTGAATAAATTTTAAAAAAACAACAGCACAGCAAAGAGCAAAGTAACAGTGCACTGAGCTGAATCCCTTAACCCAAATAAAAGAAGCACTCACCAAAAGATGGCCCATCAGAGAGTGCTGTTCAGCTCATGTTCTGACATCTCCAGGTAGGAGGCTGGAGGTAACTCCACAGGTAGCTCACAAAACCACTGAATTTCCAGTAGAGTTGATACATGGAACAGCTTTCTGCAATGTGCAAGGCCTGTCTCCCTTGCTTCACAACAAACAAATAAACAGACTGTTTCTCCTCTGTGTTAAAATAACTTTAACTATTATGAGCAGCTATTGTTTATTAAGTACTTACTTACTATGTGCTGAATATTTTGGGGTTGTATTATCTCCTCTAGTTCTCAAGGGAGCCCTGTGAAGTCAGCATTGTTGTTCCCATGTTACAGATAAGGAAATTGAGGTTTATGAAGGTGAGCCACCTTCTCCCAGATCACACAGCTAATAAGAGCCAGAACTGAGACAGGAATCTTGGCAGGCCCATCTCTAGAGCTCATGGTTGTGTCCACCACCTGGCCATGCAAAGATGGCTGAAAGAAAAGTGAATTTAATTTACATATGTTTGTCAACTGGATCTTTAAAATACAAAATATGCCCTGGCTGGTGTAGCTCAGTGGATTGAGCACAGGCCTGCGAACCAAAGTGTCACCAGTTCAATTCCTAGTCAGGGCGCATGCTTAGGTTACAGGCCAGGTCCCCAGTAGGGGGCGTGTGAGAGGCAACCACACATTGATGTTTCTCTCCCTCTCTCTCTTCCTTCCCCGATCTCTAAAAATAAAGAAATAAAAATTAATTAATTAATTAAAATACAAAATCCTTTTTTTCCACACAGTCCTGCACTAAACTCCAAAATATATCATATAGAAAAGAGTAGACCATTTCTAATCAGGTTGAAGTGGAGAGTGGAGGGCCAACCACTGCCTCCGATATATTCTCTCTCACAATGATTTCTCCAACATTTATCTCGTTATCTTTACACTTCTCTGACCCCACCTCTTTCTCCCTGTCACTGGCTCACTTTCCTCTCATCAGTGTGGGTGGACCCAAGACTCAACACTCAACCTTTCATGTATTTCCCCCTCTGCTTGCCCTCTGAGAGCACTTGGCTCACAGATCTTTGTCAACCACCACCCTTGGATGGCACTCATGCTCGTCCCCTAGAGGCCTGTAGGGCAGGTGGGATGGCCTCTTTCCCAAAAGCCATGGTGGATTTAAAGTTGAGAGAACTGACTGGACTTTGGGTGCAGGTGTGTTAGAGGGTGGTTCCTTTAAGCTGCTCAAAGCTGGCTTCAATTATTTTTAATTAACTGGGGAGGAGGGCCCATCAGTACCCACACCCCTTACCTTCTCCCCAGCACACTCACTTTGGTGTGCCTAATTGAGGGGCTCACCCCTGACGGGAGTGCTCAATAAACATTTGCTTCACGGACAAATGGGCTGGCACAGGTTTAAAGTATGAAAATATTTCTCCTCAATGCTTCTCATCTCAACTGCAAAATGATAGAGTATAGTGATTGAGAACTAGATCTCTCTGAGCTGCAAAACTGGGATGATAATATAGCTTTAGTTCCTTGTTTTGTTGAAGGAGGAAATGAGAGCAATCGAGTAAAGCCTGAGCAGTGACTAGCCAGCAATAAGCCTCAGTGCAAAGATATCTTTAAGAGTATTTTGTATCCCTTTTCTTTTGAAGCAGTTGGTGAGCTCTGTAGCCCCAGGGATTACTAAAGCAAGGCCAAGCTTCCTACCTCCCCAGGTTTTTTTTAACTCAGCAGATAACTAAAGAAAGAGAAGGAGATGAAAGGGAAGAGACCTTCTACAAATGCAATACGTACATACTACTTATTACTACTACTCCTACTACTACTACTTGTAATGAGAGTTCCTTTATCCTTTTCATCGCTGTAACTTCGCACAGTCCAGTTAGGGAATGACAGTTGGATTTTATTGCTGTCATATATCCAGTATTTCTCAAAGAACAGTTCCTAGGCCAATGAGCATTAGAATCCCCTGAGCAGGTACTGGATCTATAGCCTCAGAGTTTCTAGAGCAAGGCTAGGGCATCTGCTTCCCAAACAAATATCATTAGAATGTGAGGATCTTTGACTTAGTACTTGCATTATATAATCTAAAACTTGACTCTCTATGTGCTTATACTTTTACATGTAACTGTGTAATTTCTTCCTTAATTAGATGATAAATTCTCCAAGGCAAGGGCAATATTTTCTAGTTTCCTTGTAATCCCAACAGTGTACAGCTCAATTCTAAACACATCATTGGGACATAATAATATCCCAATAATAATGAAAATACTAGGCTGGGTTTAGCTTTCTACACTGCAGGGTCCTGACCTGTCAATGCCTAAAGATTGGTAGAGACCTCCAATTAGAATGGCAATTCACTAATACCCAATATTATTCAATATACCATGTGAGTTTTTAATCAATACTTTCTCATTACCAGTTGGTTGGGTGCTCTTTTCTTGAGTAAGCACTGAGATATCTGACTTGCTGACCAGGGAACAAAATTAACACAAGTCTCAGAATAATGAAGTCCCTTTTGAGTTTACGAGTGTTCATAAAACAGAAATCACAACCCTTCCTGCCTTATCAGAGAAAGCTGGCCCTCTTCTATTCAAAATAGTTATTCAACTGGTATTTCTTGGTTTTAGAGAGAGAGAGACAGACAGAAACAGAGAAAGAAAGACAGAAAAGGAGAAATTGATGTGTTGTTCCATTTACTTATGCATTCATTTGTTGGTTCTTGTACATGCCCCGACCAGGGGATCGAACCTGCAACCTGGTGTATGGGGATGATGCTCTAACCAACCAAGCTACCTAGCTATGGCCAGTTATTCAACTTTTAAATATATTAATTAAAACCTTATTTTCATTGCAGGGTCAGCATTGATATGTGCTAACTTTAGGGAAAAGGAAGAACTTGTCACTTTATGATGTGTTTGGTGCTGAGCAATTGAGAGATTTGCCATATGTTTTTATGGTAGTTTGAGGTTCCATAAACACCTTCCAGAATGCGGAGGTTCCACTATCAGAGTCAAATGGGAGCTTTTCCAATTCCCTAATGTATTTAACCCAGCTGCTTTGGTTGCTGTGATATGCAATTATTTCTTCTATACTTAAAGAGCAATTCTCTGCTCTCCAACACATTAACCATGTTTGATCTTAACAAGATGAAAAATAGTCGGAATCTAAGCTTATGATCTTTGTGATACATTTTTCTTCTTTTAATTCACAGTAGCTTTTTCCCTCCTTTCTCTTCTTTAGGATCAACACTCTGTGGTAGGCCAGAACACAGGCCCCAGTCCAAGTCCCAACTCCTGTTCAAATCCAAGCACTGGAAGTGGTTACATGAACTCCCAGCAATCACTGCTGAATCAGCAATTGATGGGAAAGAAACAAACTCTACAGAGGCAGATCATGGAGCAGAAACAGCAACTTCTCCTGCAGCAGCAGATGCTGGTGGATGCGGTAAAACTTTCTCCTAATGTCTACTGCGCAAACCTGTTGGTCCAACAGAGGGAGTTCATTCTTTTCTGTTTCTACTTACTGCCCCTTTCTCTGTGCCTATTTACGTGACAGCCACATGGGTGTTCTGGCTATAGAGAAGTTAATTCTATACATACTGAGTGCTTCAGGAAAAAAAAGAAAAAACTTGATTTACCAACTGCTGGACGGATGGAATGCATGGCAACTTGGCTCACGAGCCCTGCCCAGCCCAGGAATGCTTAGAACCACCAACACGGTCATTTGATTAAGCAAAAGAAACCAGTCTTGTCTGCAGCCCTGAGGGGCAGAAATAGTGAACTCCAGTCACCTCAAATCCAAACTGATTTTGGAGATAAGAGAACTTTAAAAGCCAGCAAGGAGTTTCATTCATTAAGATACCACTTTCAAAATAAATCATCTCAGAATGGGAGATGTTTTTAAAGAAAATTGAAAATGTATTTCTCACTTCATCATAGTGAAGTGGCCTTGAAGAAAGGCAAGGCCATTATTTTCCACACATTATCCAAACATTAACCCTGCTTCAATATTTATCTGTTCATCCCTTCTGTATCTTACTCATACACTCAACAACTGATCCAAACTCCCCTCCCTCCGAAAACCAAGGCCCTAATCTCCAGGTTTCATTCTCTCCCTTCAAGCCATTTGGTCAAGTGAAAGAAGAAAGGGACAAAGTTAACCTGCTCCAGGTTGACAGAGACAAGGAACAAAGGAAAAAGGAAAACAAAATTTAAAAATTATACGCTCAAGGAGCTGTGTAGTAAGAGTCAAAAACCCAAGGTGTGATGAACTCTATAATCCATTCAGGAAATATTTAGTAATTTATAATAAGATATAGCCATAAACAAGACAGACCCCTTCTTGGTCCATATGGTGCTTAGAGCTCACTGGGAATATCAAATAAATAGGCAACTGTAATGCATGTGATTAAATGCTATGGTGTGGGCATTTCTAGAAATGGTTCCAGAGAGGAAGTTATAGCCACTAAAGATCTGAAGGTGAAGTGGGAGATGGAGGTGAAGAGCCGGGTTTTACAGCCAGAAGAACCAGCACACTCCAAGACTCAGAAACAATAGACTGCATGTTAGGTAGCTAAGACGTAGAACGTGCACAAGGTTAGGGAAAAGCCAGAGAATAGAGCTTAAGACATCAGAATTTACAAAAGCGTTGGAGAGGATGTTAAGGACTTTAAACAAGGAAGTACTAGATTTAGATTTGCATTACAATAAAGGTATAAACACAGTAAGGAAAAATGTAATGGAGGAAAATATAAAATCCAGCCTGGAGAGTTTGGGGATTGTCTCCCAAAAGAGGTAAAACTTGACTTTGAAGGACTGTAGGATTCTGATGGATAGAGTACAGGAGGTCCATCACTCAGGTGGAGGGTGGGCCAGAGACCAAAAAGCACCACCTATGTACGTATTTGTTCATCAGACTGAGATTGTATCGTGAAATGTTTAATACATAATGGAAAGTTTACATAATGTAACAATTATTGATATTTTTAGGAATGACAAATGGAATTAGTTTGGAGTCCAAAGCACACAATAAGACATAAAAATTAATTTATTTGAATTTGAATAAGGAATAGTGAGAAATAAATTTACAGGTGACCTTGAGTATTGCCCTACACTGTAAGGCGCAGGTGTGTCCAACCTGTGGCCTGCATGCGGCTCAGGATGACTATGAACACAGCTCAACATAAAATCGTAAATGTACTTAAAACATCTGTTTTGCCTATCAGTTTTCATTAGTGTTTGTGTATTGAATGTGTGGCCCAAGACAACTCTTCTTCCTGTGTGGCCCAGGGATCCCAAAATGTTAGACACCCCTGGTAGCGGAACCACTGACAGAAAGTGACACATCCAATTCCTTCTGTAAATCATAGTTTTGAAAACCCAAGGTCACTCACTCACTCACTCACTCTCACTTTTTTTTTTTACCTTATAAACTAAATAGCTTAGAAACAAGGACAGCAGAAGAGAAAAATGCACCGTCTAAGATTAACTTTCGGGTTACACTCTCATTACTCCAATTAGTACTAGTAACCTATTGAATTATAACCTGCATAGGTTGAGTTTCTGAAGTTGCAGCTCTGATGAAAAGGCGAGGAAGCACTCCTGAGGGTCCTGTCCTGGCTCTGGCCTCGCCCCCACTGAGCCCAGCTGAGTTACCACTGGGACAGGTGCAAAGGTCAGGGGCCCAAGCCGTGAGAGATGAATGAGACCAAGGCCACTGCTTTTGTGGTTTTTATAAACCATTCACATTTCTCTTGTTTGGATGCCATTGAGGGTGCCTGTACTTTTTAGCATATCCAGGAAGAAACAGTCTTTGATGCCACTTTACATTAGCATATGCTTTGTAGTCATTCGCAGTCAGTTGGCAAGACCACAGAGGCGCCTAAATTGAGACATTTTCTCCTGAAAGTGTGTTATCCTTACTGTCTGTTACTCTCCCACCAATGAAACACAAGGAGGAGAGATGAGTGGAACTTATTACAATGGATATCATAACCATCAACACATTTTGTGTACACCTAGTATGTACCAGGTACCATGCTGAGCTTTTTCAGAATTAAAGGATTAATCCTTACAATAGGAGTATGAGGGAGGTCCTAGAATTATCCACATTTTATATTTTGTGATGGCAAAACTGAAGCAGGACAGATGGATATGTGCAACAGAAGAGTATCTCTATATTAGGTTTTTAGGTCCAAGATATTGAGTTATCCTGAGACATTAGTTGATAAGTTAAATTTCATGTTACACAGAAGTGATCTCAGGGATGCCTGTGAGTTTACACTTTTGTAGAATGGGAATGTTATTCTCTTGCAAATGAAGCAGTCTCCATTCAGTGTTGGAATCTGGTCATTCTTACTTTTCATCACAAAGTGACAAATTGGCTGTTCTGGGATAGTCCACATGCAAGGCCATTAAAACTAACTCTTGTGAACAAGCAGTTCAAGAAACTCCAGTTTTCAGAGATGTGAATGTTAACACTTTGAGTAACCAGATTTAGCACTCGGGAATAAAAGTCAATAATTAAATTAAATATATATAAAAATAAGTCCAGATTTAAAATCTAGTCTTTAATAGGAAACCAAAAGCCTGATTTCTTACCCCCCTTTTCTCTCTTTCCCCTCCTTCCCTCCCTCCCTCCCCTGCCTTCTCTCCCTCTCTCTGACACACACATACACACACAACACACGAGTCCTATTTTCTTCGATATAAACAGCAGAAACACCTAATTACATAAGAAAAAATAATAGATGCTTTTGAAAAAGAGAAGATTTCAGAAAGTCTCATGCTTGGCATAAAAATCAAAACTGTCAGCTTGCACAATAGTTTACAACAAGAATGGTTGAACATTGCCACATTTGGGTTCATAGAACATCTCGAGCTGTTTTTTAAACATTTAGGGTTTGGGTAAAACCAAAGTGTTTCACCAACCACTTTTTCCCTTAATTTGTAAACCCATATTTAAAAGAAATGTAATCCATATGTTTCTGATTCATTTACACTTAGCTCATCAAAATTGCATTTTATATGAATTACTTGATGCCCAAGAAACCCTGTGAGTCTTTCAAGTTATTTTTTTCTTAGAAACAAGAATTTGAATTTGGTTTCTTGTTGTTTTAAGGCTGTTTTTCCCCCATATAGTAAATTTATTCCACTTAGAAAGTTTGGAATTTGATGGGAAACTGAGAAATACATGGTTTAAGTGGTTTTAAGTTAGGCAGTCTACATTTGGCTTCCACCTGATTTACCCATTTATCTGTTAAAAGGATTTCTTTTCCTTTTGACTTTTGACTTTTCTATAATTGCAGCATCCTCGTTCTACCTATGCCAATTATTTTTATCTTTGAAAATGGAAGTTGCTTTGGGGTACAGTGAAGCAATTTTTAAAAATTCCTGAGCAGTACTGGAAAAAAAAAAAAGCAGCCCCTGATATCCAGAACGGACAGGACACTCAGAGCCAGGCTATTTTGTCCTCCGTTGGACGTGTTACGTAATACTGACCTCAGACAGGGCTACTCTGAGACCATGATAAAATGAGACAAAGTTAAGGCCACTTCACAAACTTGTCTAAAAACAGATATAAACAACGTCACTGTGCAACCCACAAAATACCAAAATCCCCCTCTTTACATAAATGAGTGACAGCTGCATCATTCCTCAATCACTGAATCAACCTCACTCTCTGACAGCTTGCAATCCAGAACAAACCCTCACTTCCTTAGACCCTCCCTAAACCACCCAGTCAATGCCTAAATCCCATAACACTTTCTTTCTAACATGGTCCTACAGAGGCACCCATGGCCCCCCATGTTTTGTATTCTCCCTCATTGCAATGTAAAAGAATGTCCCCATGTCCTCTCTTAGCTCCCAAAGAAACCTGCTCTAAAGATTTAAAGGGGGGTGATTTCAGAAGGAAGAGAAGACAGGAGCCTGGGAAATGTCTGTGCTTTGAGAAGGGAGCACAGAGAAACAGGGCAGCAAGGGGCCCTCCTATGGTAGGCAGGAAAGAGCCTGAGTTTTTGACTCAGGATTTGGTTTCTGTTCTGCAGCTACATGATCTTACATAAGTTACTTAGCCTAAGGAAGCTTCTATTTCCTGATCTGGGAGGTGGGAATAACCATACCTACCTTCAAATATTGTTTATGGGAGGAAAAATGAAGTAAAAAGCATATAGCACCCCTACCACTACCTAACAGGTTATCTCCTGTTGAGAGTTGCCAGATTTAACAAATGAAAATACAGAATGTCCCAGTGTCTTGCATTTTATCAGGAAATTCTACTCCTATGCTTTCTTTGTTGGACCAGACCTGTATACAGGGTGAGGTAAAAGTAGGTTGATAGGGAGTATGTGAAACATAATTTATTCTTGTATTATTATTTATTAATTATAGTATATTTCCATATAAATAACTGTAAACCTACTTTTGCCACACCCTCTGTAGGTGCCAAAGCACATCAGCTGTGCTACAAAATAAAACCAGAGCCCTGGCCAAGTGGCTTAGTTAGTTGGAGCATCATCCTGTGCACCAAAAGGTTGCAGGTTTGATCTCCAGTCAAGGAACATACCTAGGGTGAGGGCTTGATCCCCAGTCAGGGCACATACAGGATGCAATGGATCAATGATCTCTCTCTCTGACTCTCTCTCTCTCTCTCTCTCTCTTTCTCTCTTTCCCCTTTCTCTCCCCCTCCCTCCGTTCTCCTCCCTTCTTCTTTCTCTAAAATCAATAAACATATCCTTGGGTGAGGATTTAAAAAAAAACTAGAACTGTCCAGTGAAAAATCATACAAATTTAGTCCTCGTTGAAACTTAATTGCAAAATAAAGAAAATTAGAGTAATTACTAGACCCAAAACCCATGTTGAATATTAAGGAAACTAGAAATTACACTTCCATGCAGAACGATTATTGAAACAGAATGGAGAGGCTACTAAATAAGGTCCATGAATCACAAGTATGACTGTAAGATTGTTCTTATACTCTTTTTTGAATAACAGTCTATAAATTTTTACAAGTGAGAAGGTAACAATATGTTTTCAATATGCAATTCAATATGTTTTCATTTGTGTTTTCAAGGAGAAAATTGCTCCACAAGATCAGATAAACAGACATTTGACAAGGCCACCCCCAGATTACAAAGACCAAAGAAGAAATGTGGGTAACATGCAACCAACTGCCCAGTATTCTGGTAAGTGTTCTAAAAAATTAATAGAAATTATAAGTGTGGAAAGAGGAAAACTGTTCCATTTTTTATATTTCTGCTCTTCCCCATCTCATTTTTAATTATAACATCTTTCTTAGACTCCTTCACTACCTCTCATATAACCTTCAGATCAAGACCAAACTTGAATATTTTTAGTTTTCATATCATTTCTTGCTTAATCTTGTCCCATATTCACATATTTCACTGCTCTCCATACTACCTCTGAGAGTTCAAAAAAGTCTTCAATATTTTCTGACTACTAGATTCAACCATTCTACTCCTAATGACATGCCTTGACGCATATAAGGTAAGTAGACATTTCTCTCTGAGTCATATCTGTAACTTGCTCAAAGCCCAAACTTTTTGTCTCTACCTTTAGACTCTTGTCCCTAACACAGATAGTCTTGCCACCAAGAAATAACTAAAGAGCAAGTTAAGCCCTGGCTGGTGTGGCTCAGTTGGTTGGAGCATTGTCGCATGCAACAAAAGGTTGCGGGTTCAATCCCTGGTCAGGACACATACCTAGGTTGCAGTCAGGGTACAAATGGGAGGCAACCGATCAATGTTTCTCACATGGATATTTCTCTCTCTTCCTTTTTCCCTCTCTAAAAAAATTTTTTAAAAAGCTACCTAAGTCTTTATGAAATCTCCTAAAAATACCGAAGGTGATTACATTTCAAATACAAAGCAAAACTTCTTAATAGAACTCTCTATATAACAAAGCACCACCCCTACAATCTCTCCTCTTACTCTCTGAACTCCAAAAGACCTCTCCCAAACAGAACCTTCTCTTATTCCCCATCTATTTAAGGCCCCTTCTGACCAGAAGTCACTGCACTTTTGCATGTAAATTAAACTTGTCCTGGAATTTCCCAAGTTCCCTCTGCTTTACCTGTTACCGTCATCTGTTCAGGAAGCCATGGAGAAGACTGTCTGGAGACAGAGGGCCTGTGAACACTCCTGTTTGTTAATTTTTCTGGTCCTGTTATAAATATATTGTTCTGATTTGTGTCAATTTTTTCAAATGCACTAGATTGCTTCTCTCCACTAAAATTAGGAATGGGATATATGTATTCTGCTCCCTAAGATTACTTTGCCTCGGGGAAAAAACAGGGTTCTCTAGATGTTTCTGCCTTCAAGGATGTTGAAAGAGAAGATAGGGTTTATTTGGAATGTGGTTTCTAACATATGGCCTTTCAGGGGTTTTATGGAAAGCTACCTTTGAAATAGTATACAAAATTCAAGGCGGGTGTTTGGACTTTTCTTTCCCTTTCATATAAAAGAATCCCAAATGCTAGTAGTCTAAGGCTAGTTTGGTGGCTCTACCATGTTATCAGGAATCCAGTTTCTTTTATCTTTCTGCCCCACCATTGTTAGCATGTAGCTTCTACTCTAAGGGTTGCTGTGTCCACCATACCTGCAGGCTCCACATCCACATTCCAGACAGAAAGATGGAAGAAGGGAAGAAATAACATGACCTCCAAAATGAATCAGATTCCCTTTACTTTAAAAAAAAATAAAACTTTTAAAAGTAACATTGGTTAATAACATTACATACATTTTAGATGTCCAACAGTATTTGATATTTATATAGTTTATCATGTGCTCACCACCAAAAGTCGAGTTTCCTTCCATTACCATGTAGTTGACCCCCTTGACCCCGTTCACTCGACCCCCCCCAACTCTCTTTCCCTCTGGTAACTACCAATCTGTTATCTTTATCTGTGAGTTTGTTTCTGTTTTCTTAGTACATGTTACTTTTTGGTGTTATATTCTACGTATGAGTAAAATCATATGGTTTTTGTCCTTTTCATCAACTTATTTCACTTAGATCCATTCATCTTATGACAAATGGCAATATCTCATCTTTGTTTATGGCTAAGTAGTATTCCAGTGTGTGTGTGTGTGTGTGTGTGTGTGTGTGTGTGTGTGTGCGTGCGCGCGCATGCCCGCGCGCACAGGGTGGGGCAAAAGTAGGTTTACAGTTAAGAATATGTAAAACAGGGTTTATTCTTATATTATTTATTAATTGTTATATTATTTTCCATTTAAAAAAACTGAAAGCTACTTTTGCCAAACCCTGTGTATATACCACACTTTCTCTATACATTTGTCCATCAATTCAACAGGTAGGTTGCTTTTGCATCTTGACTGTTATAAATTATGCTGCAGTGAACATGAACCAAACTCCCTTTTAAAAGTAGGTTTCCTGAACCCTCACCTAATAACTTCTGTCTTTAGCCCGAATTTATTCATATGGATCCCTTCCGCCCTACCACCTCCCCACCTTTACTTCCCCTAACCATCAACAAGAAAGTTTGGAAAATGTGGTTTTTCAGCTGGAACCTTATTACAATATCAAGGCTCTGTTTCTAAGAAAGACAGGGAAGTTGGATATTTGGTAGGCACCTAGAAGTCTCTTCCACAGTGCATATGGGCATTTTCCTAAGGGAGAGGTCCTCAGCATCCAACTGCTGACCCCCAAGTGGGTAAGAATCACTGCTCTAGAGTGTGGTACTTCCATGACTTCTGAGAATGAAATAAGCAACAATCAGAACACTAACTCTTTTTATCATTTTTATCTTAACCTCAATACAATAATAATCATTTTACCCAAATGTTAATATCAGAAGTGATGTCTGAAAAGCACCTGGAACAATTTCTACCATAATAGTATAAGTTTCTAAATATTAATTATGAATAATATTTTGTGATCTTTATGGGACTTATCTGTACTCTGGTTGTTTAAAAACACTGCTGTCCTCAAATAAACTTTCTCAGGGCATATTATTAAAATAGAGAGCAGCACCCAGAAGGAGTGATTTTCATAGTGTCAATTCTGTTCTCATAAAACCTTCAGAACCAAGATGATGTTGCTTAACCTCATTAGCGGTCTGTGGACTCTGAGTTATTGTTCAGGCATCTCCCACCAGACTCTGATCCCTCTTCATCAAACACTTTCTGCCCTACACAATTCATGGCCCTTGCTAAGTCTGGCGATACAAAGAATACTGTTCCTGCCTTCAAGGGGTGTGTCATCTAGTTGGAGACATATTTTAAAGCACATAGCAAAGCCAGCAGCCTCTCATGTTGTGTACTATGCTAGCTATCCTCGAGCAGTAGGGGATGTCCTAGGGTTGCAATTATAGCTATGCTGTCCTCATACTCTGCCATTCTAATATCTGTATGTGTGTCTAGTTCTCTGTTTCTCAGTATCTCTGATTCTCTGGAAGGAGAGTACTCTAAAATAGTGTCTTTCTCCAACTTATATCTTTGCTTCACTCTCTCATTCACTCACTCATTCATTCATTAGATATCAGTTAAATATCTACTTTGCACCATTCACTAGACTTGGAGAATTCCAACATGTACTTTAAAAAAAATCTTTCAACATCTCACTTTTGCTGCTCAAGATGTCTTCCCATGATATCTTTAATCTTCCCAAGTCAGGAAGATTTCAATGTGCTAATTAATTGCTATCTGATGTGTGGAGCCTCTCTATTCAGCAGCTTATTATTGGAAGGCCCCACATCCTATCACTTATGGATAGGCATCAACATAGCTGGCAGGCCCTTTGAGGCTCCATGGATTTCCCAATACAAAGGCTAAGTACTAAATGAAAACTTTAAAGAGTAAATGCTACTGGAGGGAGGAGGCTGGAATATCAGGGAAAGTTTAATGAAGCACCTTGGCCTGAACCTTAAAGAAAAGATAGAGCTTAGTGAGGTTCATGGTGTATGGATCACAATGCAATAGTAACTGTACCTGCTGGAGCAGAAGGCTTTCTATATGGAAATAGCCACTGAAGCACTGTTACATTGAATTCCAGGTATTTAAAGAGATAGGAATTTGCCCTTTGGAAACAGAAGCCACTTGGAGCAGCTTCTTGAATAGGGATGATTCAGATGAAGAATTGATGATTTTCAAGGCCATGCATTTGTCCTTGATAAGTTATTGCAAAATGCTAAAAAAAAAAAAAGAAGGAGATAACCTACTGCTATGAACTAATATAATTGTCTTCTTTTTCTTAGGTGGCTCATCAACAGTGAGTTTAAACTCTAACCAGACTTTGGCAAACCCAGTCTCAACACACAGCATTTTAACTCCAAACTCCAGCCTCATGTCTACTTCCCATGGAACAAGAATGCCATCATTATCCACAGCAGTTCAGAACATAGGGATGTATGGAAACATGCCATGCAACCAACCTGGCACATACAGCATCTCTTCAGGAATAAATCAGCTGACCCAACAAAGGAACCCAAACCAACTGATAACAAATCAGAACAACCCTCTAATGCCACGACCACCTAACTTAGGGCCAAGTAGTAATAATAACGTGGCTACTTTTGGAGCTGGACCTGTTGGCAATTCACCACAACTGAGACCAAATTTAACCCATACTATGGCAAGCATGCCAGCACAGAGAGCAGCGAATGTAATGATCACATCCAACACAACAGCACCTAACTGGGCCTCCCAAGAAGCAGCAACCAAACAGCAGGAAGCCCTGAAGTCCACAGGAGTCCGCTTCCCCACTGGTACACCTGCAGCCTATACTCCAAACCAATCATTGCAACAAGCAGTGGGTAGCCAACAATTTTCCCAGAGAGCATTGGCTCCTCCTAATCAGATAACACCAGCAGTGCAAATGAGACCCATAAACCAAATGGGCCAGACATTGAATGGACAAACCATAGGTCCACTCAGAAGTCTGAATCTCAGACCCAATCAGCTAAGCACACAGATTTTACCCAATTTGAACCAGTCAGGAACGGGGCTGAGTCAGTCAAGGACAGGCATAAGCCAGCCACCGTCTCTGACACCTGGCAGTTTTCCTTCACCCAACCAAAGTTCAAGGGCTTTTCAAGGAACTGACCATGGCAATGACTTAGCTTTTGACTTTCTCAACCAACAGACTGATAACATGGGCCCTGCCCTAAACAGTGATGCTGATTTCATTGATTCTTTATTGAAGACAGAGCCTGGTAACGATGACTGGATGAAAGACATCAATCTTGATGAAATCTTGGGGAACAACTCCTAAAGGAGAAAAGGGAGACAATTCACCAACTCCAAGCACTAAAAGGCAGTATTTTACAAGGACTCTGGAAAGGCTAACAGTTGACTTTTAGTAGGACTACCTGAAGGTACCACGGCTTAAAAGTGGAAAGCAGAAAGTAACTATGGGGATGAACGTTTTGGTCCAAAATGCTCATTTTAAATCTCAAACCTGAAAGTAAAACATTGGGATCACTTCTCCCTGTCTAAACTCCAGGACACAGTATCTAATTTATCCAAACAGAACTGTGATGTTGATGTGTAATTAGCTGTGTAAAATAGGCTCCCCAAGCTCCTCTTCTCCTTGAAAGAAAAGTAATACAACTTTTAGCTTGTTTAAACTCCATGTCATGCAGAGGTATTAGTTCCAATTAACAAACAACAAATTCCTTAATTTGCTCTAATATATATGTGTGGTTTCATCTGTCCACTTTATCTTTTCATTTAGTTTCCCCAAAACTCCCTAGATTGAAATGTTACAGGTATGGATTAACCAAACACTGTCTGAAGTAAAGAAAAGCTGAAGAAACTAGAGGACATCCAGTGAATTTTTGAATACCTTCCCCAGATTCACCGCTTACTTTTTCAGTTTTCCCACCTATCCTCTACTTCAGTAAGATGCTGTATTTAGTGATGAGACATGAATGCAGAGCTATCCAACTCTGTCTGGGTTTCTACAACCAATTTCCATGTCTATTTCCAAGTCTTAGATGCAATCACAACTTGTCCAAGTCATACTGAAATATTACTGCACATATGTCTGGATCAGACTTCACTATTTAAAAAAGAAAGCACCCCATTGGACATTGCTGTCTAGGAGCTTTATTTGGCCACAGATAACATGGGGTATTGTGTGTTATAATGGTCCCTGCTGGTTAGTTCCCAAGCTGAGTGAAATTGGGTCTGGTCCTCCCTGATTATTTTGATGACCAGAGACTGATTGGTAAGAAAAGAAAGTTTGGAGGTCAAAACTGAGGTTAGAAGGTATCATGTTTTGGTTGAAGACAAGAAGCAAAAGATCAGACCAGGGATGGTGGGTATGGGTGGGTACAAGTCTACTTCGTAGGCTTTGAAGGAAAGCATAACTGAGAGAGAAAATAATCTGTCCTTATTTAGACATATTGTATCGGTAAACAGCTACATGGAGTGTGATCTGTTAGTACCAACAGTCTATTCAGTCTTCTGTCCCTGAAGTGATGAGTCATTGCCACGTGCTAGATGGACCCTTCGTATCCAAGTTTTCTCCCTCAGGGTTCAGCACTGTATCAAAGAAAGAGTTGGTGAGTCATGTAACCTCAGTGCCCACATACAGATCAGCTGTGACATGGGGAAGCTGTAGGCTGATTTGAGATGGATGCGAAATATCACTATCATTTTCCTCATTACAGAGGAACACAGGTTAGCTTCAGCTTTTTAGTTACAGGTGTATACTCACATATTCAATTATTAAATGTAATTTAACTGAAGTCATTTAATAACTAAAATTTTAAGTATCTGTTCTTAAAAAAACACATTTTGACAGTTCTGAAGAACCCTCTCCTAATCTTTAAAATGTCTAGAAGCACTCTTTTTTACACAATACCAACATCAGTGGCCCAGAATCTTTTCTGTGCTAGGTTGTAAATATGAATAAATTACTTGTTTTGTAAACTTTTGTAAAGAATATTTTGGTAGAAATACTTAAAACATATTCTTTGGGTTATATTTATACTTATGTGAAATAAATATACTATCAAAAGGTTATATTTTATACAAAAAGTAAATTGTTACCTTTTGTATGCTAATATACAAAGTTTTGTATAATATGATGGTTTATTTTTAGCTCTACACTTAATCCATAGGTGGTCAAGTGGAAACTTTTAAAAACTATCAAGAAGCTTGTTAGACAAATTTATATTCTGAAACCTCAGTAAGAAAGCATTCCAGGTTTCAATCTTTCCTTTTTTTTAATTCTGAAATTCTTTTTTAAACCCATAGTTCTTGTGTCTTGTTTGATTATTCTGCTGTGCACATTGTATTGGTCCTTGTTGCATGTGGTCCTACTGTGTGTTTTCCCATTTTATAGAACAGTGTTTCTCCATGCAAAAATGTAAGGAAAAAGTATGTACATATAAACACTTTTATTTTATAGCTCCTTCATGTTACTGTATATATCTGCCAGCACTTCCCAGTTACACGCCCATGATTCAGCTTATTTTTACCCTAACATAAATAGTTCGTTTTGTAGTAGGTATCAAATTTAAGAGATAAAGCAATCAAAATGTTTGGATTTTCTTCTATCTTAATGTGAATTTTATAATTGATGTCTATTTATTCAGCTATTCATTAAAATACAGGATTCTTTGGAAAAAATGGTGTAGTCTATAGTTTCTGTTTGTTGGCAGCCTATTACCAAAGATGACGTAATTTTCCTGAAAGCTGAGATAATGACAACTTCATAGACATATGTAGCCAAAACTTTACAATTTACAACATAAAAGCTATTGGAATACGATCTCTCATTTACAGAAATACCAGGCTTCTTAATTGTCAGCATTATTTCTCATTCTGACAATATTATAAAGGACATAGAAGTAATTTTTCTTTTTTAATTCAAAGACTAGAAATCAGTTTAAGCAAATAATTCATTCTTGGCTTTGTGTTAAGCCCAATGAAGATAAATAACTCTGCTCTAAGTGAATGCACTAATAGACTTGCATTACTGTAACTGTACCCATAAGTGTAAAGATTTCAACTTGTAAAACAAGTATTTTGTATTGTGTGTAACTTCAAGTGTTAAAAAATAGTTTTTAAAAATTCAAAAGTGGTTATCTTGCATGAAATCATAATCTCAAATGTTGTTGCTACATCACAAAAAGTTCTAAGAACTATTAATAGTGATGGGCAAATTTACTTTGTTTCTAACACTAGTGAAATACTGACTTGTCTCATTTTAACATTCTTTAGTTCATCAGAACGTTTGTATTAAGACCCTTTATACACAGCACCTACTAAGAAATGGAGGAAAACTGCCTAATTCTCAGGCATGATGGGCCTTTGTGTGGCCTCCTGTGTAGCGCCTAGTCAGACAGGCTGAGTGAACACTGGGCCAGGTCAACACAGCCTCACTGAGCATCATTACACAGTTCTTCCTGAGAGTTACAGAGGTTGAGGGAAAGATGGGACTTTGTAGGAGACATAGGGAACAGTCTAACCAAATTTTCTTGCTCTGCTGATGAACTGTATTGCCAGGGTTCCATTGTTTTTTTCCCCACTGCCAAAAAGATATATGACATTATCCTTTTTATTAGCATTATTAATGGAGCAATAATAAAAATGGACATTTATATAGTTGCTGTCTAATGACTCTGAAAGTTGGATAGTAAACAAATAAAATCAATATCAATAAATACCTACTAATAAAGAGAAAGAAATATGTAATTCTAAAATTATCTATGAACCTCATCTTGTACCCATGGAGGTAGACCTGAGAAAGGAAATGAGAAAGTAATAATGCAAAAAAGAGAGAACAGCTTAGTTCCCTTCTACTCTGTGGTTGCCAAAGGCCGTACAAATTTTTAAATGCTTTCTCCACTATTTCCATTTTATATCTCAGTAACCGTGTTTCCTCCAAAAATAAGGATTTGGGACTGAAATAGCTCTACATTCCTTTCCTACTCTGCAATTGATTTTTTTCTAAAGCTACATGAAAAATTAACCAAAAAGCACTCAGTGCCATCAGTTTTGAAATAAAGAAATCAGTGTTCACTTACCCTTTTGAAAAGTTTCACATTGGCAGTCAACTTTATTTTACAAAGCAGCCATCTCCATAAAAATTAAATTATATGAAAATGAGGTTTCTATAAATAGGCCAAAACTAGACTTAAACTGATGCAGACTCCAGCTCGTGGGGTCCGCGACATTGTGGATGGGGGAGAGATATTCACACAGACCACTGAGTCCTGTGGAGGAAAAGGGGAAGCAGCTTCACTCTCAAGAGGAGCCAAAAGCCTCAGCCTCTGCCATGACAGGCCTTTATTTCTTTTTTCTTCACATTACATAATGGTCCTCATTTACTGTGCAAAGGTTCACTTTAGGTGGTTACCTTTTACAGAAAACAAAGGAGCCCATGCTGCTAATGACATCACAGAAGAAGGATATTTGCAAATGAAAAGGGAAAAGTAGTTGAACTGGTTACACTCATCCTTGGAAGGTTTAGGGTGGATTTTAAGAAGTTACAGTACGCATTTGCTGTCTCAATTCAAGGTGAGGGAGTTTTAGCAAAAGCAAGTCTCAAAGCAGCCTAGGCACACTGCAGGCCTGATTCCCCACTGGAAAACCTACCTGTGGGCATGGGTCCTGTGCATCTCCGAGTGGGAGCTGGGCCCATGCCACGCAGAACGGTCTCCTATATTAAACAGAAAGTCAATGCTGATATAGGTGCCCACTGACTTAATACAAACCAAGCTTTTGAAGAACAAAAGCTTGTATGTGACATTAAATAGTAATTTCCCTGTGAGATCATAGAATTTCATAAAGAAAATATTTGCTTACTTTCAGTAGTGTATTCCATTGGTTACACATTAACAAACTTTTGTGAGTTGTACCTGGTAATATAGCCTCTTTTAAATATGCTTCTTAAATTCCTATAATAGACAAAGTACATGTAGTGCCCTAGTATCAACTTCATTGGCAACTATAACATTGCCAAAACAATACATGCTGAGAATTAAGAAAACATATTAACCATAGGTTTTTGTTCTTTAATTTATTAATTTTTTAGAGAGAGAGAGAAAAGGGGGATAGGGAGAGAGAGAGAAACATCAATTTGTTGTTTCACTTATTTATGTATTCACTGGTATATGCCCTGACAGGGGATCAAACCTGCTACCTTGAGGTATAGGGACAGTGCTGTAACCAATGAGTTACCTGGCCAGGGACCATAGATATTTTAAAACCAAATGCTGTTGTCCCTGATCTGCATGCAATAATATTAAAAGGGGGATTTTGTTTGTTTATATATTATAAATAGTATTTTAAGTTTCCTTTTCACCAAATTTGTCATCTTTAGCCCCAAGATATGCATAAATATGCAGATACTTTTTATAATACCTGTCAGCAAAATGGAGTAAGAAATAATAATATGTGAAAGATAGCATAAATATATAGAAGCTTTTTATGGGATTCTTTCAGCAAAAGGAAGGAAAGGGGGAAGGGAAACAGAAGGAAGGAAGGAAAACATATCTCAAAATAGGCTTAGAGAAAGGAATTTCCTTGTTAACATAGCTCAAAAGTTTAGGAGCCAGTTCTGGGTTTTGCCACAGCTGAATCCAGCAGGTCAACAATGTTATCAGGAATAGTTTTGTTTCTGTCTCTCACCTTTGCTTCCCTTTGTCTTGACTGTATCCAGCCTGAACAATAGTGAAGGCTTCCCTTTCAGAAGTTACAACTTTGTATCTCACAGGCTTCGATTAGGACATGTGCCCATTCTGAATAATCATTTTTGCCAGGGAGGTATAGTGCTCCAATTGGCCAGGCTTGGGTTAACTGTCTATCCCTAGAGGAAGGGTTAGTGTTAATGCCACCATACCATGTGGACTAAGTGGGAAAGTGGTGATTTCTCAAAGGAAAATTAAAATGCTATTATCAGAAAGAAAAGGAAGGAAGAAGGAAGGAGAGAGAGCAAGAGCGAGAGTGAGAGTGAGAGAGAGAGAAAATTTCTCCAGAAAGGAAGGTAGGAAGGAAGATATCTATTATCCTTTTCTGGCTTCTCTGTTTCCACACATACCTTTTTTCCTTATTTTCAATTTCAAAACCTCACTATAATCCAATCATACTCACCTCTTTCCCTTAAGGAGGCAATCCAACTCTCATTTACTTACTATATCCACCTCCTATTCCAGCACTTCTAGGTGAGGTAACCTTTCTTCTGCCAGGTCAAAGTGACCCAGCAATCTAAGTGCAAAGGATATTTATTCATTCCTAAGTATCCAAGTGGAGAGAAAACAGGATAATAGTAACAAAGAATTCTGTTGGAAGAGAAACTAACATGTAAGCCATGTCCTTCTGAATAAGAATAAAGACTATTCTGCCTCTGAACATTCAAACCAATGATCTGGGGAGAAGCATTAAAAACTCCCTTTCCCCAGGATGCTTGCCAGCTGCACTGTACAATGGGAATAATCACCCATCCCCAGGAGTATATTATATTAGGTGTTGGGAAAAAGACCAGGGAATCAGACTTCTCTCAGGTCCCAAACATATCTCCTGCTATGATTCCCATCTGTTTGACTTAGTGTGCAATAACTTGAGCTTACAACTGAAAATTCAACTTTTCAAAAAGTATCACTGACTTATAGTCAGAGAAACAAAAACCACTTCAAAAAGTCCAAGTGTCAGAGAGACTTAATGCGAGGAGTTGGTCAAACAGGTGATGAGGGAGCCAAGAGGTCAAATAAGGGTTGGTGAGGCCATCCTGAGATGAGGAAAAGCAGGAAGTCACTACGACTACCAGGATGAAAGGACAAAAAGACAAGAGGTCAGGAACACTAGGCAGGTGCTGCAACTCTGGCTGGTCTATTTGGTAAGGGCCTGATCCAGTGAGGAGTTTTCAGTTGCTAATGACAGAGAAAGAGAAGGAACACAATGCACCCCTCCTGTCTTCTTCCACTTTCCAGAAAATGCATCTCATTGGCTGAACTTAGCTGGACCCCACTCACCCAGAAGGCTAGGAACATAGCCTGGCACATTACAGACCAGACCAGAAAGGGGCAAGAAATAAATCTGCCAATAAACAGGCCCATGCCTGACACAACATGCTACCGGATTTCTGGACTCAGCCATCTTGGATTGCTGATTTAGAGCAAAGAGCATCTTTCTTAATAAAGCCTAATCTTCTTCCTTCTCCACTTTCAGTCACATTAACTTCAGTCTAAATGTGTCTATTTTAGAATGGTATCTATTAGGAAACTTCAGCAGCAAGTGTTTGACACCTCAACTAATCGTTTTAAAAAGTTTTTAAAAAATATTTCATTAACTCTTGTAAACACATGTTTTTCAAATTTCTTATCTGTAAAATTAACTTTTCATTTACAATTGATGTGAAGAGAGAGCATTATATTATTCTGTAATTGTCTGTATTTTATTTTCCTTCTTAGTTGTATGTAGATTAATGATGTATAATCAGTAGCATCTGGGACTACATAATCACCTCATGTGAAGAGTGGTCTGAGGCAGGAAGTCCTAACCTAGTGCAGTAATCTAACAATGCTATCAGGCACCCAGGCTGTCTCCATCTTTCATTTCTGACATAAAGAAGCATAGGACTCTTCTTTATTCTTGTTGCCTACTGTAACAAAATAGTTACCTCAGCC